GAGGTGCACGGCATCACGGACCCGGACGAGCAAACGTACGTGTACTATGCAATCGGAGAACCGCTCCCGATCGACGTGCATCGGTCCATGTTTATCCCGACGCTGGAGAATCAAATGGACGACGAACAGCGAGCGTACTGGCTGCCGAAAGCCAAAGCATTCGAAATCACGGGAGCCTACGCCCAGACCGAGCTCGGTACGACGTCGGCATGCAACAAGCCGTCCAAACCCGTGCTGTTGTCCGTAGGCCACGGCTCGAACGTCCAGGGCATCGAAACCACGGCCCACTACGACCCCAAGACGCAAGAGTTTATTTTGAACTCGCCAACGCTCACGAGTCGCAAGTGGTGGCCCGGCGGGCTCGGCAAGACTGCCAACCACTGCGTGCTCCATGCGCGGCTGTTCCTGGACGGCAAAGACCGCGGCGTCCAGGCGTTTTTGGTGCCACTTCGAGACACTGCGACGCACAGGACGTTGCCTGGGATCACGTTGGGGGACATCGGTCCCAAGATTGGGTTCCAGTCGGTCGACAACGGGTACGTCGATCCATTGTGGTCGATCGAGGCTGGTCTCTCGGTGTGCTGTCAACGCGTGCTAATGTTTCCAACAGGTTTTGCGTGCTGGACCACGTGCGCATCCCGCGTCGAAACATGCTCATGCGGTTTGCCAAAGTGGCGCCGGACGGGTCGTTTTCCAAACCTCCCATGGACAAATTGGTGTACTTTACCATGGTCAAGATTCGTGTTTTGGTGGCGGTGGTGTGCGCACGGTACGAAGCTTTCCTGGCATCATGTCGACTGCGGTGGTGCATTGCTGTCGTCGTGGAAGGCTGGGCCACGACGACAACGACCATCCTTCGCCATACACGATGGACGCGGCTGCATGGCGCGTGTGTGGTTCTATGGCAGTCTGCAGCACTGTGTTTGAGATCTGCATGTGTTTAGTTCCATGGCGAGCGCCGTGACCATCGCCACGCGATTCAGCGCGGCCCGCGTCCAAGGGTCGGCTGGGCGTGGTCAACCCGAGGTACCTGCTCCGATTTCTCCCGCGTGGCGTTCTTTCGTGTGCTGCCATATAGAACCAAGTGCTGAATTACGAAAACCAACAGTTGACGCTGTTTCCACTCATCGGCCTCGCGTACGCGTCGTATTTTGCGTATCGAGGACTCGACGCAATGTACAAGCAAGTGGCGGAGCAAGTCGACCAAGGCGACATGGGGCTGGGTACGTCTGGCGAAAATACGATCCATGCAACATTGTGGAGTCTGTCACCGACGGACCGACGATGTTGCATGAAGACTCATGCGTGCAATGGATTAGAGCAACTCGTGCAGCTCAACCAACTACACGCGTCGGCATCGGGACTGAAGGCGCTGTTGACGGAAGAGGTCGGGAATGGAATCGAGCGAGTTCGCCGGGCCTGTGGTGGCCACGGGTACAGCGCCACGAGCAACTTGCCCTACTTGTT